TTTAAATTAGCACACACAGATGCACAAATTGCTTGGCTAGCACCAGTTACAGAATTATGAAAATCAGAATTATAGGCTGCTTTATCCTGGAAGAATGCTTTTATTGCTTTGCTTTTATGTTTTCAATCTAGTGATTGAACAACTTTGGACCCTGTGCATGCTAGGCAAGCACCTCACTGCTGAGCTATACCCCAACCCCAGCTGGAGTACAATTCACAGATTTGTATAATTAGTACCACTACCCAATTAAAAAAAAAAAACACTTCCATCACACCAAAAAGAAACCGCATACCCATGATCAGTTTCTCTTCGTTGCTTTTGCACACAAACATCCGGTTGTCCCAGCATCATCTGTTGAAAAGCTACCTTTTCCCACTGACCTGTCAGGATATCTTGTCGAAAGTCAGTTGATCATACATATGAAGGTTTATTGTGGGGCTCTCAGGTCTGTACACAAACCAGTCTATCCTGCTAGTGCCACGCTGCACTGTTTTTCTCAGCGGTTACATGATAAATTCTAAATCAGGAAATGTGAATCCTCCAAACTTTGTTACTCTTCGGGGCTGCTTATTTGCAATTCTGAGCTCCCAAGAATTACAGAGTCACCCTGTCAATTGCTGCCCCAAACAAACAGTAAAAAGACAAAGATTTTAATGGAAGTTATTTTGAACATGACAACCAATTCAGGTACACTGGTTAGGTATGGTGGCACACCCTTATAATCCTAGAACCCCAGAGGCAGGGGTAGGAGAACTACCACAAGTTTGAGGCCATCCTGGGCTATTCAGTGGGTCCAGGCCACCACGTAATCCACATGAGACTCTGTCTCAGCAAACAAACAGCAGCTCAGGAGCACTGCCATCTTAGCAGGGCTTCCAGTCCACAGGTACAGGGTGGCTTTCCTGCATCCTGTATCTAGGTCTTCCTCAATTTCTTTCAGTAATGACTCTAATTTTCAGTGCACAAGTCTTGCATTTCTTTTTGCTGGGCTTATTCCTAGGAGGTATCACAAATAGTTTTGTTTGCCTAGTGACACTTTGATTCTGTTCAAGTTTATAAAAATGCAAAAGGTTTCTGCTTTGTATCAAGATTGTTTAAATATAAAGACCATGTAGTGTGCAAACAATCTGGATGTGGTTTGTGTCTTTCCTCACCATTGCCTTGATCTCTCCCTTTAAAGCCTTCCTTGTTTCTTTTTTTCCAGTTCTGGGGACTGAACCTAGGACCTGATGCACGCTAGGTAAGCACTGAGGTACCCCCAGTCCAGACTACATAGTTTCTAAAGTCACTTCTTCTTTTCTCCTCATTAGAATAAGTTTTCTTGGGGGAAGGTACCAGGGGACAGGAGGAAGAGAGGAAGTAGAACCCGTAAGAGCAAATGTTGCAATTCGAAGTTTTAATTGTTTCACAGTGGAATGATTTTGCTGTGTAGCAGCTGGGCCCAGGACTTTTTTTTTTTTCTGGAGGAAGTTCTGAAATTGAATTTTTAATTGGCTTATTTTTAACTGTGTATGAAAGCGTGTGCGCACCTGTGAAGGCACTACCCATGAAGTCCAGAAGGTGGCACTGGATTCCCCTGGGGCTGGTGTTACAGGTGGCTATGAGCCATCAGATGTATGTACTGGGAACTGAACTCCACACTTGGGTTCTCTGGAAGAGCAATAAGTGCTCTTAACTGCTGAACCAGTCCATGAAACTGTTCCTTTCCTTTTAAGGTTTGAATATAATCCTGGATAAGTCCAACATCTGCCCTTCAAAGATGATATGGTCACTCTCCCCAGTGCTCAATCCCTTCTTCTCTGGATTTTTCCTTGCCTGTCAGAAGCAGGCTATTTAACAGTTCTGACTATATAACCTATCTTTTGAAAAGAAAATAACCAGACAATAGAGTTTTTAGCTATTCTGCCTTCATCCCAGAGACTTTGACAAATATCTCTGAAGCCTCCTCTAGCCTTTCAATGCTATGATCTACAGGAGAGTCTAACAATCTGTACTTTCCATTTAACCTCAATCTTACTCTTTTTTTTTTTTTTTAAAAAATCATTATGTATATAGTGTTCTGCCTCCATGTGCCTGCACACCAGAAGAGGGCACCAAATCTCAATATAGATGGTTATGAACCCATCATGGGGTTGCTGGGAATTGAACTCAGGACCTCTGGAAGAACAGCCAGTGCTCTTAACCTCTGAGCCATCTCTCCATCAACACCATTCTTTTAATTGCTCTTTTCCTGGCACTTGGTCCCTCCTGGTGATCACCCATAAAAGAGTGAGCATATTTTCTTGACACCCCAGGCTTTTCGGGCATCCCACCGAGGAGACCTTTCTATCAAAATAAGGGACACACTTAGCTGCCTCAGTTCTGATGAATGTCCTGGCCCATCACATACAATGGGATCCTAGTTTCTCCAAAACAAGGGAGAGAAAAACAGAGTTTCATTAAGGGTGTAAAATTCACAGCAAAAACTGTGCTGAGTGGCTTACAGAGAAGAGGAACATATCCCTCCATGACATCATAGGTCCTGTGTTAGTTGGAAGGAACAGTACTTGTAACTTTATAGACTGGTCCCTTCCCCATGTATGAGTGAGCACTTGGTGCTCACAGCTAAAAGCAAAGCACCCAGGTCGCTACCAGGACCAAAACCAGGGTCCAGGAAGGCCAGCTCTCATGGCCTCTCCTGTTTACTACTCCAAGTATCCACATCTCCAGGACAGCTGCCCTCTGTTTGGAGCTTTTCTCCCAGAGACCAAACACTTCCTCCTTCTCTGCTCTAAAATCAGTTTCAGATGCCGCAAGTGTAGCTTCATCCAGCTTCCTGTGCATAGGGATTTTCTAACCCCTAGGTCCACTTTGGGCCCTTGGTCTAATGACAAAGCCACTTGGCCAAGATTCCAGTTAAGGTTAGTCCAGTTATTCCTCCCTTAACCTTGGTTTGTAGCTCCTACTGCGTTCCAGTTACTAAGAAGTGCTTAATTGGGAGGTACAGCCATGAGTCAAACTTCAGAACCCGGCTTAGTACTATCCCACAAAGCTTCTCCTCATCAACGAAGCAGAGAAGAATGAGGCAGGGAAAGGGATCGGTACACATCCCTTCAAACTGAGTTGTACTCTCCTATCTCAGGCCTGTTTATTAGCCAGGCTACCGACAGAGGCGCTTTAGGCTAGGTTAGTACAGCATCAAGGAAATGGTCCCTAGTCATGCATAGGTACAGTGAGACCCACGGCAAAGATAAACAGAAGGAAATGGTGGGGCTGCTATGAACCTGCCACCGGTACGCTTTAACAATGTTACACTCTTATTTACTTTAGGCTTAAAAAATTCTCTCCCTGTTCTACTAATGCTTTACTGTCTTAATAATTCACAACTGCTACTATTAGGACCTTACCTGTACCGTCTGTCTGCCATCTGTTTTGTTTTCGTCTCTTAAGTTTTGTTGTTCTTATTGCTGTTGTTTTGTTTTGGAGACAGGGTCTTTTGTTGTGTAGCCCAGGTTATTCTAGAATGCCTTATGTAGCCCAGGCTAACCTAGAAGGCACAATCCCCATGCCTCAGCTTCCCAAATTCTGGGATTACAGGCAAGCACCATCACAGCCAGATGTTTGCCATCTTTCAAGGAGCCAGTTATTATAATAGATCTAATATATATTACAAATATATTATCTATATACACATCTACCTTTATTTCTGAAGTAACATACTCCACACTATTTTCAGTTTATTAAAAAGCACCAAAGGAAACAATTTCAACATTAATTTTCTCCACTCTCCTTTTGTATTTCAAAACGCAGTGTATTTCCTTTGCGGAATTCATTCATATTGTATCTACAGGCTTGGGTTTAACATATTTCTTACAGTAACAACTACTCTATTTGTTGGAACTATTCTAAGTCACGGGACTGAAGAAAAAGGTCATAACAGAAATGGCATGTACCCCAAAGACATGCAGTTTTCTGGACACCTGTTGAACAGTAAATGATGAAGAGAGTGTTCCATTTTCCAAAACTCTGGATCCAAATCTTAAATTTTGAGTCACTTTGCTTTGACTGACATGGGCTTTAACTCAAAACAAAACAAAAACCCCAAACCAAACCAAACCAACAACAACCAGAGACAAACAAAACAAAAAAGAAATCTCAAAGAGAGGGAGTTGTTTTGTTTTGTGAGACAGGGTTTCCCTGTGTAGACCTGGCTGTCCTGAAACTCACTCTGTAGACCAGGCTGGCCTCGAACTCGCGGAGAGCCTCCTGCCTCTGTCTCCTGAGTGCAGAGATTAAGGGCATGCACCACCACTGCCCGGCTGTAAGGGAGTTTTAATATGCTGGTTGCTTTAGAAATAAGATGCCTTATTAAAACAAACAAAACCCAGTCTGTTCCACTGCAGAGTATTTCTCATCGAGTCACTTCTGAGGAGGCTATGTGATTGGAACCGCAGGGCAAGCACGGCTATTGCTTCCGGATACTGGGCGAGCATGATAAATATTTTCAGTTTGTCAAGGGTGAAGAAATGGAAACTAACAAACAGTAACCTGACACTCCCCTTCGTTCCACAGGCTGGTGAGGTGACTACACTGTAGGCTAACTTCCTATAGCCCATAAAGTTGGATGATGGCAGCTGCTGTGGCAGAGGGTGGCACGGAAAGGCGCGACAATACCTCCACCGTGGCATTCATTCATTCATTCGTTGTCACTGTGTCGGAAGCTTACCTCTTCAACTAGGATCCGGACACCGTCACTCTCACTTCCAGCCCCAGGCTGCACTGATGATGCTATCTAGTGCCTCGCCCTCCCTCCCTCTCCCGTGCCCCCAGGCCAGGGTGACAGGCTCCAGGAAGGCCTTGGCAACAGCAAGAGAGGGGGCTCGCAGCACAGCGCTGGGGGCGCCTCGTGCTCGGGGAGCCCGTCGGGGTGGGCAGAGACGACGGGCCACCGAGCTCGGAGTGTAACTCGAGGGCAGACGGCGCCCAGGCGGAGGGGCACCGAGCCGGCGCGGCCGAGTTACCTGATGAAGGTGGTCTTGCCCGTGCTGTACTGGCCCACCAGCAGGATCATGGGCTTGTTTTCGAAGTCCGCGTCCTCCAGCGCAGGCGAGTGGAACTCGTGGAAGCGGTACGCCTCCTCCAGCGGCAGCACCTTGCGCTGGTAGAGCGAGCGCAGGCCGCCCGTCACCGTCTGCACCGCGTCCATGCCGCCCGAGCGCTCGCGCCCGCCCGCCTGCCGTCCCAGCCAGCTGAACATGCCGCCGCCCGCCAACTTGCAGCCCGCCGCACTCTGCTCAGACACCGCGTCGCTCGGATCTCGGCGCCCGGGCAGCTCTCGCCGCCGCCCGCTCCCGGGCCCGCCCCCTGCCGCGACGACCAATCATCAGCCGCTGCGTCACGGGCGGGCGCTCATTATTCAGAAGAGCTCTCAGGTCCTTCCTCATTGGGCGTCTGCCAGCGAGGAGTGGAGGCTCTAGCCAATGGAAAGGCGTGTCTAAATGAATTATTGATGACGACATCGGCCTAGGGGGCTGGGCGAGGAGAGGGAGTCGCCCCGGCTTGGTGGCACGGGCGCGTCTGCTCGGGGTACATCCTTCTGGCTTGGTGGCGTTGGCTTCCGGGCAAGTCTTAGCTGGCAGGAACGAACCACCGGAGGCCGCCCTTCTGGAACTCGATTCATCCTAAGCTTTTGGACGTGGATACTGGGGACGGACAATTCAGAAAGTTGACCAACAGGTTTCTTTTCCGCTGGCAGGTTATTAACCCTGTTTACTCCCGAAGAGACTCAGCTTCACCGATATAAATGGCAAATCTATTTGCGTGAATATTTCTTCTGCCGCCACTGAATTCTGGATCAATTAAAGGCCCCCCTTTTTCCTTGGTTTTACTTGATTTTCTTTCGCATGGAATCGTCATTATTACAATCTCTATTCAACACTAACATACATCAGAGCGGTTGTCACCTTCTCGCGCCCCCTTTCCAGTGTAAAACCTACACACTGGTAGAAATAATTGACCATCGCCAATGCGTCCTTGGCGAGAAGTGCTCTAGCGCGTTTTCAGCGTGGCCAATGAGGTCAGGTGCTTGTTAAAATACAGATCTCTAGTTCTTGCTACAGACCTACTAAATTAAAATGTTGCGAGATGGAGCTCACCAAAAGCCTGCAGATGATTCTTGTGTGCATAAAATTTGGAGAAATATCGCGTATGAATTACTTCTTGAACTTGGGAGAAATGCAGAGCTGATTTGTGAGGTAGTTGTAAAACTGCATTTTGAACAATCACCCAGGTGTTGCCAGTGCAGTACAAAAAATGTTTATGACAACTTTGTTCATCGCTAAAACTTGGAAGTAACCAAGGTGGCCGTCTTTAGATAAATGGATAAACTATGGTCTATTCATACAAAAAGCTATGAGGTGAATTTATTAGTGTGGTTTCTAGATACAAGAACCAACTATGTCTGCGTGCTAGAAACAACAATTGGACATTGAAGTGGAAAATCTGCATCCCTTGGAATAACACCAAAACTAACAAATGTTTAGAGTTAAATCTAATCAATGTACCAGATCTATACGCTGAGAATCACAATATATTTCCAAGAGAAATGGAGGCCTAAATATATATTGCCTGTATCATGTTCATGGACCAGAAGACTCAACAGTAAGATGCCAATTTCCCCCAATTCATTTAATGCAATCCAAATAAAAATTTCAGCAGATCTTTGTTTTAGTGAAAATTAATAAAGTGATTCTAAATTCTAAATTTCATATGGTGAATGTGAAGGGCCCAGAATAAACAAAACCTGTAAAATATAACAGAATGGAGCTCTTGTATTACCTAATTTCATTTTTTTCAAAGCAAATAAAGCTACAAATATCAAGACAGGGTGGTATTAATGGAAAAATTATCAAATAAGCATATACTAATGACATTCCAGCAAGCTTTTGAAAGGTTTTCTTGACCGATGACATCACATCTTAGTTCATGTAAGTATACTCTATGATGCTCACATAATGCCTAATATCGCATTTTCAGAACATGCCACCGTTTAGTGATCAATCAATGTCAATGGAGCAGAGTCCAGGAAGAGATCTACACATACATGGTCGACTGATTTCTGACAAAGTACAAAGACAATTTAGTGGACAATCAAAATCTGGTTGTTTTTCTTTTTGGAGCACAGCCTCATTCACCCAAGCTGCCCTTAAACTCACTAGCTACAAGGGATAACCTTGAACTCATCTTGATTCTTTTGCCTCTGCCTCCCAAGTGCTAGGATTACAGGCACATGCCACCGAGACAGCTAAGAAAGTCTTTTATCAGAACAGTGTAGAATGTAGAAGCTTAGCATGCATGAAATAGTGGATTCCACCCCCCCCCCACCAAACATGGCGCACGTATAGTTCTAGATCAGTAGGATGCCTGTATTCAGAAACATGAAGTTTGATCTAGGCCTCATTCTCTTTGTTCAAACTAACTCAAAAGGGATTCTAGACCTAAACGTAAAATTTACAAATTATAAAAGTTCTCAAAGAAAACATATGAGAAAATTTGTGTGGTTATAAGGTAGGGTAATTTTTCCTAGTTAACACCAGAGGGACATCCATATAAAGAAAATATGTCGAACTAAAAAATGTCCTACCTATGAAGGAACTATGGGAAAGGTAAGGTACAGACTTGGAGGATATATTTATAGATAACATCTCACAATTATATACAGAATGTGCAGACCTTTAAAATTTAATAACAAGGGGTTGGAGAGATGTCTCGGTGACTAAGAGAGCTTGCTATTCTTCCAGAGGACCCAGATTCAATTATCAACACCCACATGTCGATTCAGGGACCTAACGCCCTCTTCTGGCTTCTGCAGGCACTGCATGCACATGGTGCACAGACATAGCGAAAGGCAAAACACATAAAAAAGGAAAAAGCCTTAAAAATAAAAACAAATTTTAAGGGGCTGGAGAGATGGCTCAGTGGTTAAGAGCACTGACTGCTCTTCCAGAGGACCCGGGTTCAATTCCCAGCACCCACATGGCAGCTCACAACTGACTGAAGATCCAGTTGCAGGGGATCTGACACTTCACACCCATGCACATAAAATAAAGTTAAATAAGCCATAAAAAATATTTAAAAAAAAAAAAAACAAATTTTAATCCTGAGAAAATTCCAACAGACACTTCACAAAAATGTAGTGTGTTTAACATTATTAATCATTAGGGAAAGGAAAATTAAAACCACAAAAACATCACAATATACCTAATAGATTGTGTAAAATTGTCAAGATCATGCCGATTGTTAGCGAGAAGTTGTAACTGCCTTATTCAACTTGTGGGAACGTGAAATGGCTGGACACCTCTGGAAGACGTTTGGCTATTTCTTGGAAAGGTGAACACACCTATCACATAATCTAGTAGGAGGAATAGAAGGAAGGGTTGTAAAGAGAGAGAAGAGCTTAGGAGAAGCCTTTTGGGCATCAAAGATGATCTCCCTGACCTTGGTTTTGGTCACCGTTTCACATTTGTACACATAGGACATTAATCATATTATGTACTTTCTTTAAAAATATTTTCTTTTCCATGTATGGATGTTTTGCCTGCTTGTGTATCTGTGCATCACACGCATGCATGACCAGAGGAGGCCAGAAGAAGGCACGAGATTTCACCAGAGACTAAAGTTACCTCCAAGTGGGTCCAGGGAATTGAACCTAGGTACTCTGCAAAAGTAGCCAATGCTCTTAACTTCTGAGCCATCTCTCCAGACCCCCATATTATGTACTTTCGATACATGCAGTTGATTACATGTCAATCAGTCCTTGATGCCTTGCCAAAAATTCATCTGTTTTTTGACTCAGGAATTTCATGTTGAAGAAACTAACCTGAGATATTTGCCCTGTGGAATAATGGCTATAAAACTTTATCTGAGAGGAAGTTTATTATCATTTATAACAGTGAAAAACTGCAACTAGCTGTCTCCCACAGCGTTAAAGAAATGGTGGCTTTCAACACGGTTATTGAACATTGCGTCATATAAGAATATTAATGACCTGAAAAAAAAACCCAGAGTATTTTGGATTAGGGTTGTAGCTCAGTGAGCAGCACATGACGACGCATTGTGGGTATCTGAAGATCTTCTGTGGTGAAGAAGCCACAGAGAGGTGATATCGTAGATGTCTCTTTGGTGGAGGTTTCTAAAGTAGTCAAGTTCATAGAAACAGGAAGTAGAGTCAGAGTGGTGGTTACCAGAACTTTTGGGGAGGAGGAAATAGGGCATTATTCAATGGGTGTAAAGTTTCCATTTTGCTAGTGGGAAAGCTCCAGACAGCTGTTGCACAACAGTGTGAAATGCTTACTTAAACCTGCTGAGCTGTGTGCTTAGGAATGGCCTGAGGGGTGACTTTGTGTTGTATGGTAGCGTGTTGGATTTTGTTTCGATGTTGCTTTTTGAGACAGGGTCTTTTGAAAATTAATTCAAATATACATATGTGTGTGTGTGTGTGTGTGTTTGTGCACCACATGTGTGCCTGGTACCCAGAGGGGCCAGAAGAGGGTGTCGCATTCCCTGGAATGAGTTACACATGATCGAGTCACCACGTGCGTGTCGGTGCTGGGAAATGAAGAATGACCGATGCCCTTAACTGCTGAGCCATCTATCTCTTCAGTCCTTTGTGGTGTTTTAAAAACTACAACTTGGCCAGGCGGGGGTGGCGCACGCCTTTAATCCCAGCACGCAGAGGCAGGCGGATCTCTGTGAGGCCAGCCAGGTCTATAGTGTTCCAGGATGGCTCTGCTATTACACAGAGAAACCACATCTGGAAAAAAGGGAAACAACAAAAAAAAAAAAACCACAACTCTAATCTTTCTTTAGTGGACGTACATGATTTTATATTTTTGTTTAAAGATTTTTAGAGTACTCAAGAAAAAGATAGAAGTGATGAACCCCCAAATTGTAATGCTCCCAGAGTGTGGGAACAGATAACCTTAGTTTTCTCTTTATGGGCTTTAGAATTTTTCCAATCTTTACAGAACAATCACATTCTTGTTTTACAAGCAGGAAAGAAAAGTAAGGAAGAAACATAAAAGAATTGCCTTTAGTCCTTAAAAAAAAAAAAAAAGGAAAGGAAAGGAAAGGAAGTCCTGCCGTGCCTCCCCCTCCTTCCCCAGCACCCTTCTCTTCATTCCCTTCTGCTTCCTGCAGCTGCCCCTGCATCTTCTTGCTCCTGCTAAGTCCTGATGTGCGGGGTGGGGGTGGGGGGCGTGGGGGAGGGGAGGCAAGGGTGGAGGCTGGCCCTCTCTATCATCTTGCTTCCATTTATGCAAGCGGTTCTCCTTTGGT